TGCCTCTGCCTCTGCCTCTGCCTCCCAAGTGCTGGGATTAAAGGCATGCGCCACCACAGCCCGGCTTGCACTTTCATTTACAAAAATAATATCTGCATATATTACCCTGAAATCTATAGAACTTCCCTAATTTCACTTTTAGTTTTTACAGAATATCTCTGAAAAATCTACTGCATTGCTCTGAATATTATTAAAAAGCAGATGTGTGATTTTTTTTTTGTTTTATTGTATTTGTTTTTCACTTTTATCAACACAGCTTGGATACTGTGGAATGTAGCGCCGAGGGCTGCAGGCCATGCTTCGAGTCTAGCCAGTCCGCCACTGGAGTGCACTGAGCTCTTCAAGGCTACATTTCACACACTTGCTTAGTTGAACACGTATGCTTCCATTGAGAGGGGATTCTTGATTATGTGTAAGTGTGTGTGTCTGTGTGGGCATGTATGCGTGAGTGGAGATGCCTGCAGAAGGCAGAGGAACATGTCAGGTCCCGGGAGCTGGAGTTACAGGTAGTTGTGAGCCACCTGATGTGGGTGCTGGGAACTGAACTCACTTTTGAAAGAGCTTCCAGTGTTCTTAACTGCTAAGCCATTTCTCTAGCCCCAGTAGGGGACTCTTATGTAAGGAATGGGATTATCAGTTTGTTCCCTTGTGTGCCTAGGAATTCTTGTTTGTTGTTACTTTGAACTTGTAACTGTTAAGTGCTGGCCAGGTTTCAAATGCCTTTCTTTAAACACACACACACACACACACACACACACAGCAACAACAAACAAAACACAAAATAGAACAAAGACTCCCAGTACACTTGTGACTCCATGCCTCATGCCTGTTTCTTTTTTAAAAAATAAAATTTTTATTTTATTTTATGATATGGGTGGGTTTTATTTTGTGTTGTTGTTTTTTTTTTAATTTTATTTTATGTGTGTCTGTGCACCATGCCTGGTGCTACCAGAGGCCAGAAGAAGAGGTCAGATCCTCTGAAACTGGAGTTAAGTTTTGAGCAACCCTGTGGGTGCTGGGAACCATACACTAGTTCTCTAAAAGAGCAGCCAGTATTCCTAACCACTGAACCATCTCTTCAGACCCTTAAAATGCCTTTCTTGCCGGGCGTTGGTGGCACACGCCTTTAATCCCAGCACTCGGGAGGCAGAGGCAGGCGGATCTCTGTGAGTTCGAGACCAGCCTGGTCTCCAGAGCGAGTGCCAGGATAGGCTCCAAAGCTACACAGAGAAACCCTGTCTCAAAAACCAAAATGCCTTTCTTAGGTAAAAGGATTTTTCATGGTAATTGGTCAATTTTGCAGTGAAAGATCCAGGGTCCAAAAACTTTGGGAATCAAATGCTAAGTGGATTCTTCAAAATGCTGATCGTGTTTTCTAAATCAAAAAAACTTGCTTAAATGACCTAATCTAGAGCTCAAAAAAGCAAAAGGGGGGCTGGAGAGATGGCTTAGAGATTAGGAGCACTGGCTGCTCTTCCAGAGGGCCTGAGGTCAATTCCCAGCAACCACTTGGGGGCTCACAACCATCCATAATGAGATCTGGTGCCCTCTTCTGGCATGCAAGCATACGTGGAGGCAGAATGTTGTATACTAAATAAATAAATAAATAAATAAATAAATAAACTCTAAAAAAAAAAAAGCAAAAGGAAGTTTTGCTTCATAATTCCAATTGTAATAATACATTAAGAAAAGAGAGAGAGAAGACCTGTAAGATGGCTAATCAGGTAAAAGTGCTTGCTGTGCCAGGCTGGTACCTGAGCTCTATCCCCAGAACCTGTGTAAAGGTGAAAGGAGAGAACACGTCCCACAGAGTTATTCTCTGACCATCACATATGCCT